GACTACTATTATGCACAGCTTGAAACGTGGCTAGCACTATTTTGCTATTTTCTTGGCAAAAGAATAAGCAAAACAATCGGTACAATCAAAAGCCGGTTTCTATATATATTTGCCACATAATGATAAATGCAGTTATATATATATATATATATATATATATATGTATATATACGTTCTGCTGCCGCAGGGATTTGTGGAAAATGTGTGAACTCTGTACATTAAAGTGACCATTAATCTGCTTAACCTTTGCTCAGGACATCTACGATTTAGGGCTAACGCCATCCAAAGCGTACCTAAAAAATACTTCGGAATATCGAGTAAGGAAAGAATTTTCTTCAAGTCTTCAATATTCGGAATATTTAAGCAGTGCTATACACTAAGCTGGGTAGTTTTCTGTCAATGTGTCAATTCTATTTCGATTGCAGAAACTCGCCATGTAGATCTCGTATAAGATGTGGAAGATCCAATTGCTGGTTGGGTAAATGGTATAATGATATGCAATATTCTACTGAAAAACGGTAAAATATGTGAAAATATTTGACTTTCATTGTTCAACTTTTCTTCGTTCCTGACGGCATTAATCATTAAGCGGACGTCCGTTGTTCGCGTAAGAAGTGAGGAAAGCGAAAGAAATAAGGAGTGGATTTGGGTCCTGTTCGTAGGTGTTTCGTCTTTGCCTTTTAAGCACTCACTTATAGTAAACTCTGGCGAACTGAGATTTGAGCCAACGGTCAATGACTTGCTATTTGCGATTCTTATCTACTCGGCTACTCATAGTTAATGAGTCCTTTTCCGTAGCATCCATGTGGCTTCCCAACCATGCATACAGCTCTTTCTTTAAGGCCAAGTTTACATGGCTGTTAATATTACATATTATTAATAATTTCTTTTTTATACTATGGAGGTGTATTTGTTTTGCTAAAATATTGGCAACATCAAAAAGAAAGCTTCTGAGCTGAAACTTTCTAAATCAATTTAATCATGTCCGTCTGCCCATCCGCCTCTCTGTGTAATGTCTGTAATACGAATTTCCACTGCTCTAAATTCGGGGAAAGATTCAAAGGCCGAGTGTGCAGGCTGATATTAAAATTGGAACAATTGGGCCAGCACAGCATAGCCCGAGACCACCTCTCTTTTTGAAAAAATATGAAAATCTATGGGTGGTGCTGTGACATCTGTACAAAATTTGAAAAAATCCGACGTGCTTACGCAATATTGTAGAATATTGAAATTTCATTCTTTTGTCAAAACGTTTGCAGCATTCAGAAAGAAGCTTCAGAGATCCTGTAAAGTCTTCACATTATCGATTAGTGGCAAATGTGAGCCGCTGTAGACGTGCTTAGTAGTCTGTCCATTCGTGTGCTTGTTAGTTGGTCCGGCAAACGTACTTACGATCGTAAAAATATAAATTTCCATTTTTATTCAGATCCGCCACCATCATAGGATAAAGAAATTTAATTTTGTCTTTTTTAGAATAGCGGTGATGGTGACAAAAGACTCCTTCACGGCCTAGTATAATTTTCTGGTACTTTCTTTTTGTTTTATATATATATATATATATTTTTTTTGATAGTAAAACGGCTCGGTGATATTTATGTAATAGGTGTAGATTATATCGGAAATGGTACTTTTTTGGATCAATACCTAATTTAAAATAAAATTTTTTTTTTTAATCCTCCTCCATTCAATCTTTTGTTTCACTTACCTATGAATAGATAATATATGACTTCTTGGGTGCAAATGAATCACTCATGTATAATCCTGACCATTGCAAGGATATGTTTTTCTAAGAAGTCTAGGAAAACCACGTCTCGCCGATTAAAAATATTGTTTGGATTTTAGTGAGTCGAAATGAATTGAACGACGAATGTGTGAATGTGTTCTTTGTCCCTCCTAATCAAAGCGAGATTAAGGAATAACAAAGGGAACTGCATTTATCATAACAAATCGAGTAGCGAGTCGAGTCTTGATTGTTCTGTGACAATGCCTGTATATTTTGTCAAAAAAAAAAGATTTATCTACGAGACTTGAAAAGAATAAAAATAGCAAAAAGAAAAAGAAAAATCATTTGATAATTACCAATTCAACATATTTTCCTGCAGTAAAATATGCGGATGTTAGGTATAAGAGTTATTCATAATTCATAAATTGTGACACGAATATTTTGCTTGTTATTACCTAAATATTTCAAAAGCTGTGAAGATAAATTCGAATCTAACTAGCAAAAGCATCTACCACATGCCATAATAGAGCTATGTTTAGAATTAAGGTGTAATTGGATTTGGAAGCCTGCTCCATCCAGATTAGCAAAAGTAAAATGTTTTCATGAACACCGCACGAATCTATATGAAAATACCTTTCAAATCTCTGCTCTGCTGGGGTCTTTACAGAGCCCCGTTAAGGTATATGGTATACGGCACTTGTCTCTACTATACATACATACTTTAGTACCTCATTTAATTATAAATCAGAATTTTTTTGCTAATAATATATGCTTAAAAGTTTGAATGAAACAATTCCTTAACTACATTAGAGTAAGCAGTTTAATGTAAAGTGTTTTTCAGTTCAAAGTAAACAAAGCCATGAAAGTACAGCGAAGAATATCAATCCGAAGTAAGCAGCAAAATTAAATAAAGTACACAGTGTAGAGTACCTTTAGGCTGAAAATATTAACAAGCGAGCATAAGTCTAAGCAACTGTATATAAATACAGCTACTTAAAAAGTAGGGTTTATCGAACTGATATTCTGCGCTGCGGCCACAGATATGGCAGTCTTATCTTCTCGGCTGTCCGGTAGCTCAACGATTTAAACACGCAGTTGGGCCATATTTACAACAATTCCACATATAAAATTCTATTTTGGAAAAGTAATTTTGGGAATAAAATTGAACTTTTTAATATTTCGTTGACAAATAGCGTTTTGATAGGTTACACAAAGATGGAAAATTTGTGAGGAAAGTGAGCACTATTCAACCTCTTCCCCTGCAAGCAACATCCAATTTTTAATATTTTGTGATGAAAAGTGCAACAAAATTATGATTTAATATAAATAGGTTTACTGTGCTTGGCCACGACTATAAAAGCCCATTTTCGAAAGCCCTCTCAAATAAAGATTCCCCCGAGAAGAAACTCGTGTGAATTAGTGTAGAGTGTTCAATAATGCTTAAGGGTTGGTGTTGTCTTGCTCGAATATAACGTGTTATTATTGTAACAATCGTTTGTGAACATTTGCTTAGGTCAAATGATTGATTAGACGATCACATCAAATATAAAAATAAAAACACTTAGGGTAAGTAGTTGATTTTTTTTTTTATGTCTCCTGTATTCGAAGGCGCAAAGGGGTAAGGAAGGTACAGAAAGATGTTAGGAAGAGTACGGTTTGTGTTCGTTTGATTCAACCGTGCACACATCAGGAAAAGAGCACTGTTGATATATTGTTCGAAAGGCGTGCAGTATGATTTTAGAAAGTCGAGACGCAGTAGTGCGTCGTACGTACGACATGTAGACAATTCCAGAAAGAAAGGATGGGAATATTGAGAAAGACTTCTTATCCTCTTAAAGGAACACATTTCTGGACAAATCACTTTTATCCCTTTTATCTGAGCAGGTAATTTTTTTTTTATTTATTTTTTTTATGTATATTTGACCACTCACTCGTTTTGTATTCGTGTAAAAGGGCGACGGTTGCAAAGAAATGAGGGGAAATGAAGGAGATGACCAATCCGGCCTCTACCTACACTCGTTCTAACTACGACGAAAGAAAACTCTACCGCATTGAGATTTAAGCTCGCGAACGTTGACTCGATACTCGCGGATCTACCAAAGTTGCCATTTTGTTCTATTTTTCTATACGACGTTACAGAACGAATTTTACAAAAGTACAATAACATGATTAAGCTCGTTATTTTACACTTTGGATTAGATGTAGAAGTGTAACTAAGTAAATCGCATTTCAGTATGGCATTTGTTTCCGTTATAATGAACTAGTCGATAGAACTCAGTAAAGAGTTTTTTTACTTGAAGAAAATTTACGAGTGGAAACTTAGTTAATATCTTACCTGATAACATGTAATTTGCTTACGAAAATCACTTGAACATTTTTTCTTATCCTTTAAAGTTTCTCATTTTTTTTGTGAACAACGTATGTGTCTTAGCACAATTAGATAGTCTTAGAAGTTGTTGATTAGATAGTCGTACAATAGTTGTTGAAAATTGCGCAAATAATTTTATATTTAACTTATAGACAACTAGAATAAAGAACATTTTCTATCAAATATCTAAGATACATTGTTTCTTGTCCTAATCTGAAAGAAAAAGCCATGTACGTCCATTTATAAAAAATAACTTTCATCTCCTACACCCATCAACGAGCTACTACTGATTTGTCATTCTATCTATATTTCCAGTGATGAAATTTTTCGAAACCATAAGAGAGTATATATATATAAGAGAGATTATATAGTAGATCTGATCGTTTAAGAAACTTCACACTAAAAAAACTCGAATACAGAAAAAATAATTGCAGTGATTTTCTCATGGAAGGGTTATATTTCGATCTTTGCTTTTGGATATTAGTGCTATTTCGTTTGGGGATGTAATTCAGAAATCGTCTCACGTGAAAATTGCAAAATGTAATGAACTTCTAGGTATGTCTTATAATTCTCACTGTAAAAACATGCAAATGACCTCAAGGCATGTGTACAGCGAAAAGGTCTTTATTCTATGAAAACTCGGCCTAGATATTATAAAATTCAGCCCAAGTCGAATATATTTTTATTCCTTAATAATAATATATTTTTGTTGCATATTGTTAGTGCTCTAAAAATGAATAAACAAACCTTTCGAGCAAACATTGCGTTTCACTTTTCCATTTAATACGAATTTTTAAAAGAAATAATTAAAAATACCATAGGGACAACAGAGACTAGTGACTCGAGACACGGCCCACCATTAAATACCGTACAGCAATTCACTTAATGCAATTATCCATATAACAACTTTTTAAAAGCGGAAATACTCGCAAAAGTGGTCTGATCCGGACCGAAGTCACGACAACGTAGCAAATTTCAACAAAACAATTCAAAAATTGCCTCCTATAGGTTGAAAGCAACAAAACACGAGGGACAAACGGATATGCAAGTTTAAATCGATTCAGCAGCCGTTTCTGAATTCATTTTGACCCGTAGCTTGAGCACAAATTTACATGGGAAGACATCAGACGGACTGAAGGGCAGATAGGTTAATATCAATTCAGACTACGATCTTGAATCGATCGATATAATAAAAGGAGAGTCTACATTAAGCCATTCTGCGTGTTACTTACGTCTGCACTAACTTAATATGCCCTATACCACAAGTGGTGTAGGGTATAAATATGCCTCTATATAGAAACAAGATATAATTTTTGTGTTCTATAATGAAAATAAGAACTGTGTTAGACAGTGTGGTGTAGGGTTAATAACCGCGCCCGACTATAATGTTCTCACTTGTTTTTTATACCCATCATTGACGGATGAGGGGTATATTCATTTTGTCAAAACGTTTGCAACGCCCAGAAGGAAGAATCAGGAACGGCCCCTTGATCAGCATCAAATTCTAACTTGATTTAAGCATGTCCGTCTGTACGTCTGTGTAATGTCTGTTTAGCAAAAAAATTGGAAATTCTTGCAGGCAGGTAGATATTGAAAATGGGCCGCATCGTTCGAAGGAAACGTCTACACCATCATCTAAGCTGAGAACACCTCTGTTTTTCGAAAGGATTAAAAAATTGTTTTTTTGCTCATTACTCATAAACTATAGCAAATAATTACACAAAAATTTGAACGCATATTCTGTGGGCGATGTTGTCACAGTTGTGGGCAAAAATGGAAAAAAATTTGACCCGCCTACCCAAAGTTAGAGTGTATCAATATTTAAATATTTCTTTCAGTATCTTTATAAGGCAAAGAAACAAGCTTCAAAAACCCTGTAAAGTGTACAAATTCTTGGCCAGTTTCAAATTTGGAATGCACCTAAACTTGACCGCCTATTCGTCTGTCCATCTGTCTCTTTGTGTAATTTTGCAGCATTTGTGATAAGCATTCCCCCTTTAGCGAAAATGAAGATATCGTCTACCAGTTTGCAAAAGAATTTGGAATGGATGTAAACTTTTCAAAGGACACGCCTACAACGCCGCCATGCCTATACAACAAAATTTTTTATTTTGAAAATAGAAGAAATCAGGTGCGCTCACTCCATGTTACAGAGCATGAAGATTCATTTCTTTTACTTCTTTGGTCTTTTTTAGGCTAAGGGTGGTGGGTAATAAATATAAGAGGTGTAACTTTGGAATAGTTTAAGTCACTTCCAAAATTTTTTGCGAATTTGTACTACTACACAGTTTCGTCGGCAAGCAGTTGTGCAGACAAGCAAGCGGACATGCTTAGGTGTATTCCAAATTTGTAGTTGGCCAGGAATTTATATATAATACTTTGTTGAAAAGAAAATCGCATTTTGATACACTATAAGATTGGGCAGGCGCGGGCAATTTTTTTTCATTACAAGTGTTACAGGATCGCCGGTAGGATGTATGATCGACTATAGCAGCCTTTCAAGAAAATAAATGCTGTTCAAGTGACTTTAATTGTTCCTACCTCCAGCAGAGACAATTGTGACACAGCCAAACGTGTTGCGGATCTTTTCTCTTAGTAAGTGACGACAATAGGCTCACATCAGAAAATGGGATACTTGTGAGTGACTTTTTTCGATTAACATAAAAATAAACTAAATGATTATAGGGGAGAGAACGTTACAACAACAAGAACAAAATGTTATGTTAATTAAAGAATTTGAGATAAAGATCGAATTATAATTGATTAATACAAGTGTTCTTGTTTTCCATTAGTTTAAACAATCATTTTTAGAGAATAAAAATTTCTTGCGAGAAACACAAGTCTCCAGCAAAGAAGGTGTTTCTCAGTAGCAAGATAAAGTTACGTCGCCGACAAAACCGTGACCATTTAATAAGCAAGCAGATCTTAGTGCTTGCATCATTATAATACATCGTCTCACGTCGGTTCCTCGACACTTTAACTGCATTTGACTTCTTCCGTCGATGCAGTGAAATCGTTTCAACTTGATTAACGAAATTTGAGGCGCATGGAAAAATGCTCTTTTTAAAATGGAAGTAACAAAGCGTATCTCATGAATTATGGAAGAATTTGCCCCAAAAGTCAGTTGAACTTATGTCATCATAGGAGAAAACTTCCGCATAAACCCGTGCGATTTAAATGAAAAATTCATATTGAATTTTAATCACAGTCTATATACAGGCAATAACACAACAATAAAAAAGAAAATGTTCATCGATTTACACTGATTCATATAATATTGTCAACACATTTTTTTTCAAATAAATGAATATTTTTGAAAGACAATATAGAACAGCATTAAAACATGGACAAATAGTACTGGTCTTTTTCTTTCCTCCCTATACCTGCAACCTTTCTTAACCACTATCGTGCACAATGCTTGTTCAAATTAAAAGGAATAATTTTAAAAAATTTATATGTGTACAAACAAAAATAAAAATAATAAATAACAAGTAAGAAAATAAAATTCGATAGTGACCGAATTTTTTATACCTATCACCGTGATTTAAGAACAAAATGAAAAGAACAGCATTTTCATGCTTTATAATAACGGTTTTGAAAAAAAATTAAATTTTGATACGCTATAATATTGGGCAGACGTGGCCAACTTTGCCTATTTTTTGTACAGATACTACAGCATCGCTCGTGGGATATATGATTAAATTTTTATAGATTTATTTGTTGTAGTTTGTGAGTAATGGGCAAACAACCAATTTTTGAGCTGTTTTCACTTTACGTAATACTGCAGGCGTATTATCCTTCGAAAGATTTGGCCGATTTTCAATAACAAGCTGCACCCAAGAACTTGCAATGTGAATGTGTCCCAATTTTGAAATCGATAGCTTCATTTTTGCGTCTAGAAGAATGACAATTCACAGACGGGCAGACGTCCTGACGGATATTCTTGAATCACAAATATAAAAATAAATTGTAGGACATCTGAAGAAGAAGTTGCATAACAAGTAAAAACACTATAGTCCCTACAGTTCAACACCCTACAGTAAAAAGTTGTCCGATCTGCACCATTTTCAATAGCGTTCGTCCTTGGGGTGAATATAAGTGTACCAAATGTCATCCAAATACTTCAATTATTGCGGCTTTTCGGTTGAGCACTAGAAAACAAGGCGGGCAGGCAAGTTTAGATTGATTCCGAAAGTGATCCTGAATCAGTCGATATAATGAAAATTTAGTGTATCTCAAGTCCTTCTGGAGATTGGGTATATCCGCACAACGTTAACATACTTGTATTGATGCAGGGTATATGAAAAAATAACAGGAAGGAACTATACAAAAATTTGTATTTTAGATGTTTTAACGGGCGTCTTCTTAAATACAATTGTTAGTGGTCCCCTTTCTTCAAAAATTTCAAAATACAGTTTATAAATTAACCAGTCATACTCTGAAATATGTTTAAATTTTTGTATCAAATCTTCTCGCCACTACATTTTTACGTTTGTCACCATTAATTTAAAACTCTTGTTATGATCTCAATCAAGGACTAAAAAGTCCGAAAAAGTTTACATTGTGATACAGTTTTTAAAATATTGCCTGCTTGCCGGGAAGGCGAAGGAAATCGACTAATAACTCAATGAAGGTCGGTTCAAACCGCAAGTGCGGTAGAGCTCTCAACAAAGTCAGTGCTTTAAAATTTCATTCTTAGAACTGAGTTTTTGTTTTGTATTCATGTAGGATGCTGCTTGATTCTTTGATTATTTTTTCTAACTAGGAACGTAAGTTTCCAAGTTGACAATATGGCCATATAACACTCATACAGTTTAGGGGTAGATTGCTTTTGGTAACACAGAAATATTTTTTTTAACTTTTAGTAACAAAATGCTTTCTGCTTCAACGCGCCCTTTTTGAAACCGGCTTGTAGAAAGGCAGTCTCTTGGTTCTAAAACGTTCTTAAACGGTCCTTATGATTGTCCAAAAAACTCGATTAACAATTGAAAAAAAAGAAAGTTTAGACTAATTTTGCGAGATTTCCGTTTAAGGTACAAAATATTTAACTCACATACACTAAGTTAACAAAATTTCTGTAAAGAATTTTATTTAAAGAGTCTACATTAATTTCCATCAAAAGCCTATCGTTGAATAGATTTCGATAAAAAGACCCTTTAGCTAATCTATTGTGAATAGAAATCTATTGTGATGGTCTGAATTTAAAACGATTAAAATTTACCCGGCTGTCTGTTTGTAAATTTATTCATGCCGTTTAATAGACGAAATTGTTAGCTAATGTCCTGTAAACTTGTGTCTAAATATCATTTCATATTAAGAAAAAGCACAAAGCGAACGTTGGTCTTATTTTATTTTCTTTAATGATTTTTAATTAAATTAATATTTATTCAATTTTAACATTTTTCGATTTTCATTCATATTTCTTTTCTTTCAAATGCCCATTTTATTTGAAAACTTTCACTTCTCCTAGGGAAATTTGAAGAACTAGAAAATTTTTTTATTTATTTGTTTATATATTTATTTTTGTTTGTTTTGCGTAAACTCTGCAAATATTTTACTTTATTATTTCTTTATATTTATATATATTTATATCTTTTCTATTCTATTCTATTTATTTCTTTTTTCTTTTGCATTTGGTTGTGTATGAGCGCACACGCAATACGTAAAACATAAAAATCGGAAGGGATATCCGTATTAATACTAAATGACATGATTTTTCTTTGCCTTTTTTCCGTTATGAATGTAATGTACAACGACGGCATTCGAAAACTAAAATGAAAACATTGAAATTATTGATAACTTTACGTCAAGTAGACGTTGCGAGTAGCGCACGCACCATTAGGGGTTAAGTTTACTTCGTATACGCGATGTGTACGAAGTTTTTCTCTTATTCTTATTCTCTTATTCTACTAGTTTCTCTTATAACCCAAAATGCAACGTGTAACCAAAATTATAACCAAACGCATCCGTCTAGTTGGAGGCTTATAGCAACAAACACTTTTTCAACCTCTTTCATTTGTCATTGGGAAAATCAAATTGCAAAAAAAACTATCGGAATAAGAGTCCAATTTGTTTACACTTTTTAATATTGTTCAAGTATTTGTATAAAAATTGCGTGCATGCGAGAGTAAGCGTATAAAACTGAAAATGATTCTCAATAAAAAACTGGCCTTTCCTGTTGCTGTATATTAATTTATATATAATTTATATATATTTATATATTTTATATTTAAATATAAATAGCTTTATTTATATAATAGCTTTATTATATATTTAAAATAGCTTTATTAATATATATAAAAATATATATAAAAGATAATGTTATTCTTTTTAATGGTTTACTGTTTGTTTGCGATTCTTTTTCCTTGTTCGCGTTTGTTCCTCTATCACAACGCCGTATAATCCTTGGAAGTCGTTACGGTTCGAAAATGAATTGTTGTTAAATATTATTATCGGTTGACAGACTTATGCATGTTTGCAATGGCTTAGGGGTTCATTTGCAATTTGGTCCTGCACCGGTTGTAAGTGTGGCTCTATGCTGGTTGTGTACATGCTTTTTTTCTTTTTTCTTTTTTGTCCTTCTTATTTGTTTTATTGTACTTATACTAAGTTTTATTACTAATTAATATAAGTTTTGCTTTAAGTGCCAATTGAACTCGACTGTTATTTGTTTAGTTGAGTTTCATGTATAAGTAGAATTAAAATAAATAAATAAATAAATAAACACATGCCGTAACCGTCTAATTTATTTCGTGAATGCTCTGCCCGCAAAGTAACGAAAATCTCACCCAGATCTTTAAAGTGGCCTGAGTCGTTTAGATTCGTTTGATCCGTGGTCGAATCCAACCGTCGTTTCTCCACTTCCATATAAGTGGCATAAAGATGAAGGAATCTGGGAACTGAAGAACTATAGCATTTAATTTTAAACTCAAAGTTTTCAAAAATAATATATAAAAACATCTTCATCAGAAAAGTCAAATTTATGCACGATTATTGAGTTTACGTGATTGTTACTTAACAAATAATCTACGAATAAAATAAGAAGCTATTAATAATTATTATAGTGTTTCACTAAGTTAGCATCAACCTACATAATGAAGTTTCATTACGTAAATTTTCGAAGAGAATATTCAAAGTTTGTAATAATTGAGCACATACAAAACTGGAACCTCCAATTTTTTGTCGCACTATATGCAAAAAGTATGATAACATATTTTTCTCTAGGAAAAAGCTGAAAAAAGGAAAATAATTAATATATATTTATAAAGAGCTCGAAAGCCGAACTGTCATGTTGATCATCCCATATTAAAATTTCCGCTATACTTCTTAACAAATTAAAAAAAGCAGTAGTTGAACTCACTGTTAAAAAGGCAAAGCAGTAGTGGTATAATCTGGTAAATTGCAAAGCCGCCGGCATTTATAATGTAATAATCTGTTAAATTGCAAAGCGATTCTACCAGCAAACCCCTATTAGAAAATAAGCGAACTAAGCTTATTTAATTTTACAAGTTAGCTTAAAAGTAGACCGCCATAAATTTTATTATCAAATTAAACAAAGCAGTAGCTAAATTCTCTGTTAAAAAGGCAAAGCAGTAGATAAATTCTCTGTTAAAACGGCAAAGCAGTAGCTAAATTCTCTGCTATTTGCGCGGCGTCGTTAAATTCTCTGCTACTTGCAGAGACAACGTTACATTCTATGCTAATCGCAAAACCGTCGCTAAATTGGCAATTTGACAACAATAATAGCAAAAGTAGTAGTGACTAAAGCATATAAATAAATAAATAAAGCATATTGTGGCTCTTCTTTCCTTTTTCAACTTTATTGGAAATGATTTTATTATAAAAACATAAAAATAAAATATTAAAAATTAAAAGATGCAAGAATTTTTTTTTTATCAACTTGATTATTAACGGCACTGTGAATGATTTCAGGCCCGCTGATTTAAAATACTCTCAGATGATTGTGGTGGATCGAGGTGGATTTCAGGTTCGCTCATATAAATTACTCTTAAATGATTGTGAATCGAGGTGAATCGGCACTTTGACTGTATAATATTATTAAGGAAATCATAACAAATTTTACTCTCGCAAAGACATTCTTGCTCTCAAAAAAGTCAAAAACGAGCTCCATAGGAACACACAGCAAAGTAAAAAGTTTACTCTCAAAAGAAGCATAAAAATACACAGCAAAGCAAATTTTGCTCTCAAAAAAGCAACGATTTCGGCTTTCGATATGCGAAACTTAAAAGCGCGCAATTTTTTACGATAAGAGCACTATCGCGTAAAACTGGAAATTCCGCAATTAAAAAACAAGTGGATTTGAAACAAACAAGATTATTTCATTGTCTTGTATATTGTTTACATTTCGAAGGACCATGTAGAATGGGAAATTCCTTGTGTTTCTCTAATAAACAAACCGGTGTAGATTTTATGCACATATTTTCTTGTTGGGAACGTAGTACTGCAAATTAGAATAGAGTATTACCTTCGTTCTGCAAATATCATGTTCAAGGAAATGATGAAAAAATTTCTCTTGAAAAATAGGCATGCGCCGGCTTTTTTTATTCTTATTTTTTTTATTGTCTTTATAATTATGGAAGCATTTGAAGCAACATGTGGCAGCAGTCAGTCGGCTAATATTTGTTAATTTTTTTTAATATCGTTGGATTAAAAAACAATTTTTAAGAGTGAACAGAATCATTCATTTCAACTTATATTTTATCTTTGATTTATATCGACTTTGTAACTCTTTTGTACGTTGTTTACAGAAAAGAAGCTGAATAAATATACAGAGAAAATTTAGAATTACAAATAAAAAAAAGAAAGTAAGCAAATTATGTTTCGATGCGAGCGAATATTTGTTGTAAAAATAATTCAAAACGAGGAAAGAACTAAATTTCATACTTTACAATTTTGGGTAAACGTAGCTTATTTTTTGCTATTTTGGTGGAAAGAAGGTGGAAAGTTAAGTTATATGTTTGATGCAAATAACTCCAGAACTCCATTTTACAACCATGAATACGTTTACCGCAGCAACTAAGAGAATGACGGACAGACGGACTGGCAAATATGTCTAGAGGGGTTCCCATTTCATACTAATCAATAATATTTATGGGATATATGGAGCTTTTTTTGGGTACTGCACACGTTTTGATTAAAGGACGAAATTATCATATCCTATAATGTAGAGTAGGTGTGGCCGATTTTTCCTTTTTTGTACATATGGTGCAGAATCACCCATTGAATATAATTGCAAATTTTTATCGTTGCATCTGTTGCAATTTATAAGTAAGGAGCAAAAATCATTTTATTTTTTGAAAACAGAAATAGATTCAGATTATATTGTATTGTGGCAGAATTCTTCCGCCCATTTGGGTCCAACTTCAATACCAACCTGCGTGCAAGAACATCTGATTTTGTTTGTTTGATGGCTTTCTCTTTGCGATCAGGGGAATTTTTACCAAAGGCATTATTCCAGCAGACAGACAGACAGACAAACAGGCGGACGTGCTTAAATCGGTTTAGATTTGATTCTGATTAAGAATATATATAATTTATGTGGACTCGATTTTTCGCTTAGAACAGATAATTTGAAAAAGAACATAGGCTGCTTTTTATTTATTCATTTATTTATTAATTTTTTATTTATTTACAAGTGAAACGCAACTAAAATAAATGAACAATCGAGTTCAATAGACTCTTGGAAGTAAATCTTATTAATATTAAAATCTAGTATCAAGTGTATAAGAAGAAGTAAAGGAAGAAAAATAATGAAAATAATAATTCATGCATAAATAAATCAAAAAGTAAAAAATAAAAAAAAAGCATGTACCCAACTAGCACAGAGGCACAACCACAATCAGTAGAGAACCAAATTGCAAGTGAACGAAATTGAAGTGTTGCCTTGCGTTTGATGGAACTTGAAGGGAATCATGCATCTGAATTTGGTCACATCTGAGAGTAAGCGTCTGAATTTGTTTACAATTGGGAATAATTCAAAAAGTTAGTCTGTATTTGTTTACAATTGGGAATAATTCAAAGAGTTTAATTTGTAAAATCAGCTACCTCTCTTCTCCGTTGTTCTTTATAATTTTATTAAAATTCAATTATAATTTCCTGCATGTTTAACTGGCTGTTATTGTTGTTGTTGGAATTAGAATTTGTTTATGCAATTTTTCGACCTTTTTGCCTTTTTCTTTTCTTAATTTCAAGGTTGTCAATATTTCACTTCAAGGATAGCGTTACAATATGAAAATTCCAGACGTGCGTTTTTGGTTCCAAGGAGTTCGTAAATGCCATGAAAGGTTTGGACGAATGGTGTGCATCTTGGAGTAGTTTTGTATCGTTAGAG